GTAATTCACGCTCTGAGATTCGCGCGACCCTCGTTGCCCCGCTCACGACTCCACTGCCGAGCACGAGCGTTTTTCGTTGCACCCGCGAGCATGACATTGCGCATGCGCGGTGAGCTCTTCCGCACGAGTTTGTTCGCGTGCCCCGCGCGCACTGTGCGCGTTGTGCTGTCTCGCGCACGAAAGCGGGCCGCGGGTCCTGGACGCACGCATATTCCCGAAGACTTGAATATGTTGCCGTCTCGTGCTGACGCGTCCTCAGTACGGGACGTGAAAACGACCACAACCACTGCTTTTCTTTTGTTGCCGCCTTCCAACCAGCAGAAACAAAGCAGTGGTTGTGGTCATTTTCGTTAAGCTTGGCACCAGGGAAATGACCACAACCACTGCTTCTTTTTCGCCTGGCTGGAAGGCGGCGCAAACAAGAAACAATGGCTATGGTCATTTTCCCGTCCCGCACTCAGAATACGCGACAAAGCCCATAAGAGAATGGGTCCCCGTGATCTGTGCCCACCCGAAGCGCTTGAGGGCTGCACCGAGAGATGCCCGGGCAAGCGTGGGCTCCCTGAGGTGCGGACCTGGGCTACAAGCCGGCGGATGAGAGAGGTGCATGCCACATGTTCGTGCCATTTGTGCTCGTACAGATGCAGCTCGAGGCAGAAATTAGCCGCCCATGCTTTCCCACGGCATGGCGTGCGGCGCCGCACTCGCGATCTCGTCGATACAATACATTGTCCGGCGTGTGTGCAACTTTTTCCACACTCGCGTACGAAAAGGTGATCCATCTGGAGGAGAAATCGGAAAAATGCCGTTCTGTAGTCATGTCTACTTTCAACCAGTTGCCGACTGGTGTCGTTATCGAACTCGATCGGCAGGATGCCCAAGGACGCCCGCGAACGGGCCAGGAAGGGCCAAAGACCGCAAAGTCTCCCCCGATTGTTTCCATGTATCGGGTGAGCCAGGGGACGCAGATACAGCGACGACGTCCTCTTAAGGAGGGTCGACACACGTATTGTCCTTTCCCTTTTTGCTCCACCATGTAAGTCTCTCCCCGCACGCGCACGTTCCAAGCTGCTCGGAAAAGAAAGAGGAGCAGGGGGAGGATCAAGAGCAGGAGTAGGAGGAGAAGGACGACGAGGAGGAGGAGGAGGACGATCAGTTTTGAGGAGGAGGACGACGAGGAGGAGGGTGGCAGCATCCATGGGGGGTACTCATGCCGACAGCTTTCAGGAGGGGAGGAGAAGGAGGAGGAGGAGGAGAGATGAGGAGGATCAGGAGGAGGGGAAAGAGAGAGGATGAGAAAGTGAGGAAGGGAGGAGGAAGGCGTAAGGAGAACGCGGCGGGGAGGATCGGAAGGGGGGAAGGAGGGAAGAGGAAGAGGAGGAGGAACTGGTCAATAGCTCATAACATCATGCCCCGCGCCGCAGGCTCCTGGCAGTCTGCCTGCGTGGCGACCCGGAGGGAAAAATAAGGGACGAGAAGCGAGCAGACGACGACGAAGGCGGGAGTCGAGGGCCGGCGGGACAAGGTATGCAGGCGGATGTGCAGACGGGAGGGGACAGAGGTGAGACAGCAGGCAAGGAGCAGGGGAGGAGAGGGTAAAGAGGAGAGAGGAATGAGGGACAATAAAAGGTACAACCAATCCTTTCTAACCCTTCTGGATGGGGGCCTAAGTTAGGCGGTCCAAAAGCATTAGGGATAGGGGATCTGTTCTGCAGATCTCTCAGACCAGGCCGCAGAGTTGCATTCTCACTCATGCGAAGACGGGGACTTGAGCGAGGCCACGTCTTCACCATGCTGTTAGGATCAGGGGCTCTTTGAACCTCGATGAGAGAAGAGAACAGAGGGGAAGCAGCCACAAGCAGACAAGCTGGACACGGGGGGGCGGGGAGAGAAACTCCGGCCGCGACGAGGATGCGGACACTGCGAGGGCGACACGGCGACAGGTGGCGGCAGGCGGCGGCAGGCGGCGACAGGAGGCGGCAGGTGGAGCGATGATGGTATAATCGGCGTCGTCGGGAGGGTCGTCGGGGAGGGGGGGTCCAGGGTGAGCTGCCGCGCTGAGGCTTGGTCAACAGGGACTCCTTCGGGCGTCAACTCCCCCCGCCGGAGCCCGCCCGCCACCGGCACATGGAAGAGAGGCCCGCCGCGGTGCTTCTTGGTCGGCCGAGTCAGCAAGGGCCCCGCCACCAGTACATGGAAGAGAGGCCTGCCGCGGTGTGGCTTGCTCGGCGGAGTCAGCAAGGACCCTCACGGAGGAGTGGCAACAGGGGAAGGGGGAGGAAGGGGGAAGGAGGAGGTGAGGCGAAGGACGTGGGGAGAGATCGGACGGGTCCCTACAACAATGTGTTCTAAGTGCAAGAAGTGACCCGTTAGAAGGCAATCGTCTGATAAATCCCCAATCGCGCCAAAACATCATTTTCTAGGACCCCAACACCGCGAATCAACGTGATTGCTACGTCCTGACAGTCCAACATCTTGCCAGAATGCAAATTCCCAATGACTTCAACCATACAAATCCTCGAACTGTTGCCAAAGCTTGAAAAGAGTGTGCGCGGTGCTCAGGCGAGAGCCACATTTGAAAATAGAGAAGCCATCCACCCTCAAAACTGTGGCCAACTGTTCAAAAGCATGCGCGCGGCGCCAAGGAGGAAGCCACATGTTTGAAAGGAACCCCCCTCCACCCTTAAAACGAGTGTGCACGACGCGAAGGCGAGAACCAGATTCTGAAAACAACCTGCCCTCCATCCCTGAATCTGTTACGAGCTTTTACAACGAATGTGCGCGGTGCCAGGGTCAGAGCCACAGTTTACAACAACTTGCCCTCTATCGTTGAAGCTGCTGCAACTTGTTCAAACAAATGCGCGCGACCCTGAAGCGAGAGCCACATAGTGAAAACGACCCGTTATCCATCCGCAGAACTGCTTTCAACTGTTAAAAAGAACGTGCGCGGCACTAAGGCGGGAGCCAAATTCTGAAGACGACCAGCCCTCCATCATTGACTTGCTGCAGAACTTCTGAAACGAGTGTGCACGGCTCTGAAGCCAGAGGCCCTGTTTGAAAACGACCTGCCCTACATCCTTTGGAACTGCTGCAGTCTGTAAAAACGAATGAGCACGGTGGTGAGGCGAGTGCCTCATTCTGAAAACGACCCATTAATGAGAGCTCTGCCGTGTTCAAACTTCAAGATCATAAAAGACTACGAAGTCTCAGGCGAATCGCCCGGCCCGCCCTACCGAAACGTCTGGGAGTGCGACAGGGACCATGTATCTTGAAGGAAAACGGACGGTGGAGGGGGGCAGGGAGGAAAGGGAAAGGAGTTCAGACATGGAAGATGATGAGGAGGAGGACCAGTGCAAACCTGAGACATTCAACGATGCTGCAATAAGCCCTCTCAACTCTCTCGTCATCCATGCCGGAAGACAACCGTCCGAGAATCCTCACTCGTGCCAAAACACGATTCCTGAGCCTTCCAACGCCGCGAATCAACATGACAGTGGCGTGCTGACGCTCCTGAACCCTGCCAGAACACCACTCCTTGGACGCCAAAGCCGCGAATGAACTTGACTGTTGCGTCCGGACAAACCGAACCCGTGCAAGGATGCCATTCCGTGGACACCGGCCACACAGACCGTCGCACCGCTGCTAAAATGTCGAGCGAATGTGCGCTACGCTCGGGCGAGAGCCACGCTTGGAAAACGAGCAGCCGTCCGCCCTCGAAGCTGCTGCCAACTGTTCAAACGAGTGTGCGCGACGCTCGGGCGGAAACCACATGCTGAAAAGGAACCGCCCTCCAGCATGGAAGCTGTTGCAAGCTTTTCAGAAGAGTACACGCGGCGCTTAGGCGAGAACCACATTCTGAAAAACGGCCCGCCATGGATCCATGAAAAAGTTGTAAAGTTGTTAAAACGACTGCGCGTGGAACACACGCGAGATCCACATTTTGAAAACGAGCTGCCCTCCATCCTACAAACTGTTCAACTTTCAGGAAGAATGTGCGCGGCGCCAAGGCGACAGCCACATTTAAAAAAAGGAACCGCCCTCCATCTGCAAAAACATGTTGCAATCTTCGAGTTTCAGGAGCACAGACGGTGAGAAAGTCTCGGGCGAATCGCCCGGCCCCCCTTACCGACAAGTCTGGAGGTACGACAGAGAGGAGCTATTGTTAAGGAAACCGGGTGGCGGGGAAGAAAGGAGCCAGGGGGGGCGGGGCGGGGAAGGAGGGAGGAGGAGGGGGGAGGAGGGAGGATGAGGGTGTGGCCAGCAGAAACGAATCCGAACCTGTGCACGTTGGTGGCGGAGCCAGCCACGGTCAGCGGGGAAGCGAAAGAAAGCGGAAGGCCCTCGGAGGCGCTGGAGGGCCTCCTCCTCCTGCATCCTCTCACATCCATCCTGGCGCCATGACAAGATCACGGCGGAAGGATTTGGGCAATTTCCGGCATCCTCCATTCTTACCAGGGGCCCCAGATCTGTCATACAACGGCTCAAGATGAATGGCAAGCCCCCCTACATCCGGCTCGCGCATCCTGCGCCCGTCCCCGTCCCCCTCACCTTCCTCCCTCCGCGGCGGGGATGTACGTAGCCATCGGAGCCGGTCAGAGAGAGGAAGCATTTCGAGACACGGGTTGCTCCATATCTCCATATCCACCACTTTGCGAGCCGACCGTCCGGGAATTCGGGTGGCAGAGGCCACGGGCGGTCTCGGCCCCCAGGGGACCCATGCAAATAGCCAGATCCCCTGCCATTGCCTCCTGCGGGCCCGGGCAAGCGGTTCCCCAAAGGCCGGATATGGCTGCATTTCAGCACCCGGAAACTAAGAGGAAAACAAACCTACCTCGCTTTTGACCACCCTCGCTTCCAAGAGATACCAAACGATGCCAAACTACGGCCTGTACTGGTCAGGCCGCCTGACAAGGAGGCGCGTGGTATGGCTTGGTTTTGTCTGGAAGCGAAAGCGGGGGAGGTTATTCACGCTCTGAGAAACAACGAGCAGTGCCGCCTGCCTTCGTGTACCTGTCGAAGTACAGCGCCTGCTTGATGAGGAGGCCGAACTCCCGCGGCAGCTTCAGGCCGTTGTTGCCGGCCACCTGCGCGATGTCCAGGACGATGTCCTGCCGATGTCCACCGCGCGCCGGCCCCGGTCGAAGGCCCGGCCCCCTCGCGCCGCAACGAGGTCACGATGAGACTGGTGTAACGATTTTCGGCCTCAGGAGGCGCCTAGGGGGCCCCACCACCACCACTAAGCCGAGCATCCAGAGGGACGCGTGGGCAGCAGAGCGCGCGATGGGCAACTCTTCGAAAAAAAAAAACGAAAAGCGAGACAGAGGAGGTAGGGGAATTGGAGAACAAAACCGGGATGCCTCAGATGTGCTGCGCAGTCTTGTACACTTCGGTAGCCCACTGCTGCCTGGGTCGGCCGCGCCTCCGGCCGCGCCTCCGGGGCCCCGGGAGCGTAAAATCATCCAGGCAGTTGTGAGTAACGCAGCTGTGAGCAGTGTCTGCGGTGGAGCTCCCTTACCGGGACAGAAATCGCGTGAGGGGTGCGCCGAAATGGGTGGGGCACCGCATGCGAACCTTGCCGCTGGGGCCTTCAAAGGAGCTCCCTACCGGGCCACGGAACGTGTGAAGGGTGCACTGAAATTGAAGGTGGAACCGCATGCGAACCCCACCACCGAGGCCTTCGGTGGAGCTCACTATGAGGCCAAAACGAATGAGGGGTGAGCCGAAATGATGGTGAAACGACATGCGGACCCTACCACTGGAGCTTTCGGTGGAACTCCCTACGGGGCCACAAACCGTGCGAGGGATGCGCCGACAGGAGGGCGGAACTGCATGCGAACCCTGCCACTGAGGGATTCAGTGGAGCTCCCTTTAGGGCCACGAACCTTTCATGGGGTGCGGCGAAATAAGGGTGAACCTGCATGCGAACCCTGCCACTGAGGCCTTCTGTGGAGCTCCCTTACCGGGCCACGAACCGTATGAGGGTGCGCCGAAATTGAAGGAGGAACCGCATGCGAACTCTAATACTGAGGCCTTCGGTGGAGCCCCCTGTGGGGCCGCGAACCGTGTGAGGGATGCGCCGAACTGAGGGTGAAACTGCATGCGAACCCTGGCACAGGCACAAGGGCCTTCGGTGGAGCTCCCTATGGGGCCACGAACCTCTTAAGGAGTGCGCCGAAATGAGGGTGAACCTGCATGCGAACCCTACCACTGAGGCCTTCTGTGGAGCTCAGGAGGAGGAGGAGGAGGAGGAGGAGGAGGAGGAGGAGGAGGAGGAGGAGGAGGAGGAGGAGGAGGAGGAGAGGGGGGAGGAGGGAGGAGGAGGAGGAGGAGGAGGAGGAGGAGAAGGAGGAGGAGGAGGAGGAGAAGAAGAAGAAGAAGGAGGAGGAAGAGGAGGAAGAGGACGAGGACGAGGAGGAGGAGGAGGAGGAGGAGGAGGAGGAGGAGGAGAGAAGGGCGCCAGTCCAGCGTAAAACGGGAGGAAGTCTCGGGCGGGAGCGCTGGTTTTGTGGGAACGGGGGCTGTCGGCGGCGAGCAAGAGCACTGCCTTGAGTAAAAAGGGAGGAAGTCTAGAGCGGAAGCGTTTTTGTTGCTGGTGGGGGCGCCGATGAGAGAAAGAGGAGCGCGCCTGTCCAAGGTAAAACAGGAGGAAGTCTCGAGCGGGAGCGCTGGTTTTGTTGAGACGGCTGCTTTCGGTGGCGAGCAACAGCACCGGCCCTGAGTAAAAAAGGAGGAGGTCTCGAACGGGAGAGTTGTTGTTGTTGTTGGGGGGCCGGTTTTGGCGGTCCCCCAAACCTCTTGAGAGTGAGCCTCATTTTCCATGAAAATGCAGCCGGTGCCTCGGCGAGAGCGCCATGGCGCCTGTAAGGGGTCCAACAGTAATAACTGTTTAGTAATTAACATTCAACAGCAGCAACAACAGCAATCAGTTTAAGACTGTTCGCTCCTATATGATCACGTGCCAATCAATACGTATGTCCCAAACCCTCGGTACCCGCCCTCGTCGTCTTCGATATTACCCCTTTGGGGGCATATCTTCTTTACCTGCCACGTGCATCTAGTGCAGCCCCTAAAACAAGAGAAGAGAAGATGGCTGGAAGGTGGGGGAGAAGAATGGAGCACGAAAGAAATTAGCAGGAAAAGGGGCAAGGAGCAGAAAACAAGTGGTATAACCAGACAGGCAGATCGGGCGGGCAAACCCATAGCGGGCAGGTCGGGAACGCGGGGTCCAGGCGACCAGGCCGAGCAGGCGGGTTGCTGAAGCGTGGCTCATGCATGAATCGCGAGGAAGGCTCGAGCGATAGCGTGATTCCTGAGCGCCGAGGGCGCATCGTCTGAACAAATTGCAACGAAATCCCACGCGAGAGCGCGATTTGTGTACAAAGTGTGAGGATGTCCCGCGCAAGAGCGCGATTCGGGAATAAATTGTGAGGAAGTATTAAGCGGGAGCCGTTCTTGCTGTAAACCGGGGGCCAACAGCCTAGTTTGAGCCCCGTGACCTTC